AAATAAATAAAAGACATACCATCAGCACGCATTACGTACACAATTTACTTTATTGCATAAACTGATTATAGTTTTAATGCCGCACTGGGCGAGACTGGGAAAGCCCGGGCCACAGGCTGCAAAACCGGTGGGAGTTCCGGGGGCAGCCTCGACTACGCTCGACATTCAGGCTGGCGGCGGGCAGGAAAACTTTAATATCCTGACGTTATTATCATTATTAAACTGTGAATGGCATAATAAACGAACAGGGTAACCACAGCGAGTCGCGCGCAGCGCACATTCCCAAGTTTCCTCAAGTACAATGGACTGTGATGGTGAAAAGTCCTGATAATTCCAGGGAAAATTGAATAATGTCCTGGGTTTTTTCTGAGTAATGCTTACTTTGCATTAAAAACTAAGTAAAGATTACCATGTACTCTTACAATGTATTATAGAGGGTTCTAATCTTATGGATAGTGCATTAAAAAGACAAAATTATAAGATTATTGGAATAAGAATTAAAGATAACCTGGAAGCTGAAAAGTTTTCTTCTATGCCTTACTACTTATATTTAAAAGAATCCTCTTATTTTTTGCAAATTACAAATATTTTCTTAGATTTTTCCCTTTCATTATGGAAGTAAAACTGAATTCTTTAATGCATTTTCCACAGTGCCTTAAGTGCGGCGGCAAAATGTTGTGTTTACCGTCAACATCCGACTGAAGTGCACCAGCTCTGGGCCCAAAGACAATACGCCCTGTTATCGATGTGCGGCTTGGAGTTATGGTCGCGTAATAATCTATTGAGATGCGTTTTATTGCGCATACGCCGCGTGCCCCAGCCAAAGCAGTCGTAAGCACTTCCATGGCCCTGGGCTGCTCTTAAGATCCACATGCAATGCATTAAGAGCCCCTATGGCTTTCGTTCAATGGCGGAATGATTTGGGGGATGGTGAAAGCCAAGCCAGTTCAAGCCCAGCCAGACCGGGCGAATGGACTGAACTGGGAAACTGTTGCTAATTTTCGAATTGCAGACGGGATTGCAAAGTCTGAGCTGGCGGCGCTATGAAATAAAGTGAAGGCAACTTTTGGCCACGGCTCCTTCTGCATTGATTTCGCTTCGCAGCTCATTTCGCTGGGCCAACATGTGGGACGGTCACTAATTAGTCGTTAATGATGCATTTCCCCAGATTGCATGTCCCGATTATTTCGTTTCAGTTCGTTTGGCTTGGGTTACCCGCAGAGCACGCACATACTTTCCGAGTTAATCTTGTATCTGGAATCCCGGCAGACACGCAATATTGAAGCCCTGCGGAAAGTCAACAGCGAGCGGCTGATGAAAAATCTTCTTACTCACGCCATGAGTCGGAGTTTTCCCGGTCCGTGATTCCTTTATCCTTATTTACCTGTAAGAAGATAACAGCAATGGGCGCCAGGGATTGAAGGGTGGCAGGGGCGGCTGAAAAATTTGTACTTGGCATTTCAATTTGCTTTGCATATAATTATTATTGTATTACGCATACGCCCCATGGGCCACGTATCCTCACTCAAACAGGGAATTATGCTGGGCGTGCACGATATGAGTAGAACTTTCCCAACTTCAGTCAACGAATTTCCATGTGAGTACACAGGGAAAAATTTGCATAAATCCAGGAACAATATTTGCATTGCTCAACTTCCCGTTCCCGTTCCCCATTTTTCTGCAGCATTTAAGCCATTAATTTGCATTCATGAAATATTGCCCGATCCAGATTTTAATTTCCCACCAAAAATATGTTCCTTCAACCATCAGACCACCAGAGCAGTCGGGCAGAAGGTTTCCTTAGAATTTTCATCGGCTTTCCTTTAGCTTTGGTTTGGGCCATAAGCTGATTGGGAAAGCCACTTCGCCACGTTCGAGTGGCTCGTGTGCGGTGCTTTAAATTTAAAAATATATCAGAGGAAAAAGTCATCAATTCGTGAACAATTTATTGCGCGTCATTTTTGATTATTCACCGAGAATTCCCGCCTGACCGAGGAAATTGACATCTGGACTTGGCTGTCATTAATTTGCTTCGTTAATGTGAAAGCAAACAATGTGAAAATGGCGCGGAGTCATTATTTTACATTGTAATTAAAATTATGCCACTCCATACACACATACACACAAGTATTCTCGATAATGCTTATGCAGGACTCAATTTGTTGTTACATAATTACAAGAAATAACACCGCGGGCCATTATGAGTGCAAACAAAGGCCACAATTAAAATCATTAATGTGCCGCCATAAAAAGTACAAAGTCAATGGGATTTGCACTAAAATCACTTCCACTAATTAATGCCAAATCCTGAATTATCCCCAAGATGTTATCGGGCTGTCATTCACTTGGAAATTCGACTCATTCCTCACACCCTCACCCCCAACTTAGAAGAAGTTATAAATGTATCTTTCGCCAGGATCTATGCACCTGTCCGTGAAACTCATTCGTTGCTCAGTGAACACCGAGCTAATTGATTACAACAAATTCAATTCGTGTTTAATTAAATTAAAATTTTGATTTTATCGCAACGCATTCTGGCCCGCAGCATATGTTAATGCCCAAGAGGGGCTGCGGCCGGCCTTAAATGGAAATTTAAATGGAATCGCAGCCGAAAGGCGGAAGTGGAGCGGCTGGCTGTGCAATTACCCCACCTAATTAATGATCTGCTGGGCCGCAAGTACGTGCTTGATTAAAATTTGTGTGTAGCTAACGCATTAATTAAAGTTTCATAAGAGAGGCAACAACAACAACAACAACAACAGCAGTAAGGACAACGGGGAAAAAGAAGGCGAAACAAGGACTCCTATTTAAATATTTATTCCTGTCATTTGTATTGTGGAAGAGAGCGACCCCGAAACCTGGAGACAGAAATTACCTTAGCACACAAATTGCATTTGCGTGTCAACCGCAGTGCGTCAAAAGGGGCGGCAAAGTCCTGGGGGCGGGCTTAAGTTTGGCTGTGAATGCCTATGTGAGTGCGAGTGCGAGTGTGTCTCTGGAACATGCGAAGCGTGCGTAAGTCGGCAACATGTAAACGCGTATTAATTAAGCCAAAACAAAGCGCCGCCGCTCAAGAACCAGACGAAATGCGAAGACGACGGCGACGCCGGCGAGCACGACGAGGACATGCAAAAGGAGTGGCACGTGGGCGGCGGCGATGGTGGTGGCGATGGCAGGAGGCGGGACAAGTCGTCCTGCGAGTCAAGAGCTTGTTCACTGCCATTTCCCCCTGTCAAGGCCTCAATGTGTCCGCAGAAAATGGAAATGTCCTTATAATACGCCAGACGTGGTACATTTAATTTCTTTTTTGTGTGTGCGGCTTTCTTTGACTGATTCTTTTGATTCCATTTATATATTTTAATTACACAACCATCTCACATACTTTTCTCGCATATCTCTCTGTAGTTAACAGGCGTTTCATTTAAATAGTCCCTTAATGAACAAGCTAAACTCCCCCACCTTGACTTGTCCCCACCTGTGAGTCGTTGAATAGTCCTCAAAGTCCTCAGCTTGCCGGCGACACTTTTCCGGCATTGTCACACCTGTCAACAGCAGTCGGTCCGAGCTGCCACAAACGTCAATCCCCGCTTTAAATGACTGCTAGTGGAGTTGGATTCGAAAACATTTGCATCTGCTCCGAACCAATTAGGACAAGATACGCTCAAGCACTCGAAGAAAATGTGCCTTAATTTTGAAAACTTTGAAACATTTCTTAGAAGGTTAGAAGTCTTTTCCCAACACATTTAAAATCCATCTTCGAGTATTTTGTTCTCAGCTCAGAAAATAATATCTAACAAGAAGAAACCTTATAAGGGAAGTGCTTGAATGTAAATTAGTAACTCATCATAAAATCATTTACAACACAAGTTTTAAACATGACCTCAAACTACCTTCTTGCCTTTATAGTTTCATTTTGAAATACATCAGGAAGTTTTCTATTTATTTTTTTTTACTTTAGAGAGTTATGATTTTCTGCTAAATGAGAACCGGCTTTCTACCAACAAAACATTTTTCGGTTGAGTGCATTTGACAGCCCGAAAATGGGCTGTCATGGGGGCTTCCAATTGAATTTTCGTGCCCACTTTAATTGCAATTCGTGTTAATTTCGCCGGCGAAACTTGGGTTAACAACCACTTGAGGCGGCCAGCTGCCACTTCATCGGTCATTATGGTCAGCCATAAACAAATCAGCAAACAAAGTGGCCACCACCTGCCACATGCCACCTGCCGCCTGCCGCTCGCCGCTTGCCGCCTTTCGACGGCCACGTCGCCACTTTGCACACCCACTTTTCGCACAAATTGCACGTTGGGCGCCACGAAAAAGTTGCGACCCCAAGGAAAAGGAAGCGGAAAAGAAAGGAAAAGCCGAGGTGAAGAAAGTGAAGGAAACAAAGGAGAGAGCAAAAAGAAAATCATTCATTATCATGTCACGTCAATCGAAAAACAATCTAATGACTGCACATGATTTCTATCTCAAATAGGTTGGACAGGCCAGACAGGAGGCTGGAAAAGGGGGGAAAACAAACCGGAAAATAGCCCCACATACGCAACGAGCTCACTCACTCGCTCACGATGGCCCACAGAAGTGGTTGAAAAGTTTGCGGCCAAACGTTTATTATGCATTAGCCATGCTTAAACGGTTAAATCAACTGTAAATCTCTCTGCCCACAATAAGGTCGTAGGAGGCGGCCTTCGATGGGCGGTCAACTGCACAAGTCAAGTGTGAACTGTGTGTGTGGCTGAGTGTGATTTGATAAATCACTGCGATACTAGGTTGGTGGGCATGGGAGTGGTCATAATCGGAAACTAAGATACCATGGCAGGCGGGCTTTTCCAGTTGATTAGGGAGTAAGAGTTGCCTAGGATAAGGTTTCCATTTCATCAAGATTTTAAGTTTTTTGAGGATTTGTATGGATAGCTATAAGTTACTGGTTTCTTCAATGGATTTAAAACTGGTTCTTGATCAAATAAACTTAATCCAGAAAACATAGAAGGGGCTTATCGAGATAAGTCAAATTTGCTAGCATAAAATACATAGTTTTCTATAGTTTCGTGTATTTGAATTTTGTATAATGTTCAAGTAAGTTGACCATTTTGCTCTCACATTTAATATTTAAATTAAATTAAATCCCTTTTTAGCCCCAATTACAGTCGAAGACCCACAAAGTAAGTATCTCCGTTTAACCCACTAAATTTAGGTTACTTAACATTTTCCTTTGAAATTGAACAGTATTAGCCTTGAGGAGGCTACGAAATTCATCTACCAATACCCTTCGCTGCCGACTCCTCTGATCGATTATGACTTCATCTATGATCTGGTCTGCAAGAAACCCAGGGATGTGAGTCTCCCTTTGGTCCTCGAAGTAGAGACAGAGCCAAAGTCCAAGGACAGTGCTCCTGAGAAGCCAAGGAAGGTACCGAGGCTCTCTTACCATTCGCGGTCGAGCTCGATGAGTGAGGAGGAGGCGGAACCGGAAGAGGAGACAAGATATAAATGGAACTCACCCCGTCTGATGATCCTCTGCGAGGATGGAGATATCAACTGCGCCATGCACTACCTCATTGAGTCCCTTCACGATCCTTTCGCCTGCAATGCGGTGGCCACTCTTTTCTTGCAGGAATCCATCCTGGAGGAATTTGTGGATCGAATGAAGGATCGCTTGGAGCCCCTCAGTACTGATATCACCGGCCATCCTGTTTATATTAAGACACTGGAAAGACTGGAGAAACTGCAGGCTAAGACCATTGTGGGGAATCCCAAGACAGTTCCGTCAAATGCTACTCCTGTACTGGTCTACGATCTTTGCCATCGCTACCTGGCCGATGGTCCTACGGGGGTCATAACAATCCACACCTTTCGAACCATGAAGGAGGCCATTGAGCTGCAGGCCAAGGAGCCACTCGCCTTCACCTCCGTCTGTATTTGGAACGAGAAACTGGGAGCCGCCTACGAACTGGTGGCCCGGTTGAGTCCCCTAATCTTCCTGCTGAACTGCTTCTTCGTGGATCTGAATCAGATGAGTCTGCCTTTCGTATGCAACTTTAGTTCTGTAAAAATAATCGATGGCTACCACTACGAGTCGCTGACCTTCAAGGGAAACCGAAAGATCGTCGTGTATCCCGTTGGCACCATCTGGGCGAAACTGGCCCGCGAGGCCCACCACTTCTGATCTCTCCCATTGGGAGACGCACTTAAATTCAAACCCTTTGGTTGGCAGCTAATTTAAATTACTAGTCATTGATCTGGGGGGCACGGACTAATTGACTTTCCGGCCGGGCAACTCAATTACCAATTTAATTGCTCAAACAAGTCGGCCCATCCCAGGGGCGTTGGTTTATCGTTTTCTGGGGAAACTCAACAGGCCTTTTCCCCCGGGATAATCAATGGAAATTTTGAGTGACTTGTATTGTAAAATTAAAAATTCCTTCTGCGAAGTAATTCACCTAACGTGCCAATAATTTCAAAAATTTACTTTGCCCCATTGCCGCCACCTCCCCTAATTTCACCCCGCCCGATCTCCACAAGAGCAAAACAAAGGCAACAAAGGAGGTTCGTGTTGGCAACAATATGTTGAGGCAGCCAGGTGAGTGGGGCGGTTGGTGGTTGGTTGGGTGGTTGGATGGCAAGTGGAATTCCGAAAATGCCATAATTACTCCACTTGCTGCCTGCTCGGAGATGGACGTGGCAGGGAGTGGTGGCAAAGTGGGGACTGGGCGGTCATATTAGTGGCACATTTCGGCTTGTTGGTTGGCCAAATAATACGGGAATGACTTTGGGCCAAAACGGGGGCTGGGCAACTTTATAATGTACTTCCGTTTGCTTTCATTCACATGGCAGCGGAATATCAAAATATTTGACATTTGCATAAATAACACGAGCAACGGCGCAGATCTCGGGCAAGTTGAAAGGCAAATACGGCTCGTATTTACCGCCCAACCCAACCCCCAAAGAGACCCCCACAAACCACACACATATCATGCCTGGAATTGGGCAAATTTAAAAAACCAGCACATACCATAGCCGGGGAGCAGGCTGGAGCTGGAATGGAAGCGGAGGAAAATATGCAACACAGGCAGCGAAAACAAAACCGTGGAATTTCTGCCCACCAGAGTCCGGACTCCTGGCTATGGACTCCCGGACTCCCGGACTCCGAACTCTGGCGGATGGGTGAGTCCGGTGGCTATGGGCAAATAAGATTTGCGTGGAATTCGGCCGAATTCAGCCAGCTGCGAGGGCTCTGCCCCGATGTGGCATAGTATAGCATGTCGGCGAAGCACGGTCTGCTCACTAAATAAACAAATTCATAAACAAACAAGTGCGAAAAATATGGGCTTTGCTTAGGCCCCCGTTTGATACCCTGATGGAGCCATTCCAACGAATTGTTCAATATTGGAGGAAAATTTGTGGATTGAACAAAAATATGAAATATGACAATGGGAACGTTTTCTGCTGAGTTAGGATTTTAGGGTCCCAATCTTAGCATTGTGATTTGGAAATCGATTTCAAGGAGTCTGAATTAACAGAAATATATATCTTAAAATATGATATAACAGAAATTACTTCGTAAGTGAATCTCTTGAAAAATTCGCAGCTAATAACCAAAACTTAACTATCATAGATTTAACCTAAATAATTTACTATAAAGTTTATAAATGCCTAAGAATTTAACGATTTAAATATGACGTGCCTTCTATTACACCTTAGAATCAACCTTTACTCCCAGGCTTACACTACTCCATGTTAGGGCATATCGAACACAGCGAAAAAGAAACCAAATACGGAAAAACCCCAGTGCGAAATGAAGTTTATTTATCCAGCGAATGGGCAAAAATTAGACGCGGCTGCATGGAAATTGCCAATTAGGAAATCCTTTATTTTATGAATTTTTCGCCAGAGTGCCGATTTCATTTTCTTCATGTTGGCCCGTTCGCTCCGGCTGGGTTTGAAATGCAAATAAATGACTTCACCTCCGCTCCCGGTTCCATCTCACGGCGTTGAAGCCCCATTTAGGGCCAGAGCGTGTGTGTGTGTGGCAGTTGAGTTGGGCAAGTGGGTAGAGTGGGCGAGGAGTTCCATTTTTCACGCTTTTATTTGGCATTTTATTTTGGTAACGTATTTAATTTCATTGCCGGGTTTTTGCCGGCGGTAATTTCGACCATATGAATGGAAATGAATTCTGTTGAGTGGAAGGTTAACTTCGGCAACTTGTGATGTATACAATTTAAATGGATTATTATGGGGGAATTGTGAGTGGTGTTTTTATGGAATTATCCCTGTTAAAAGTGGCAACTTCTCCGTCAATTGCTGGAATCAGAGATTTGATGAGTTCCTAAGAGGCTTGCTGTTCCTGCTCAAATATCAAAATAAACTCCTCTGTATGTTGTTTTTGGGGGAACTTCCCACACAGAAAAAGCAATAACCGACTGGCCAGGATCAAATGCGGATATCTCTTGAAAAATAAATCCACAAGCGATAAATTTTGGCGTCCGGAAACTCACAAGGTTGGCCTGGAAACCGTTCACTTCACCTTCATTCGAATTTCGACCGTTGGTAATTGCAAAGGTGAGGGCTACAAAAAGAAAAATACCTGGGCAAACAACGCGAAACAAAACAACACAAAACGAAACAAAACAAAAAAATAAACGAAAACCCAAAGAAAAGCCGAAAAAGCCATGGCGAGCAGAGTGGAAATCTCAGCTAAGTTGAAAGATTACATCCTGTGTGGATGGGACGTGGGTTTCCGAACCTTAACTAAAAGTCAATTCCCAAATCAGCATAGCCAAATGACTGCGAAAGTAGCTTATTTCAATCGAACGTTTTGCGGGGGGATCTGTTTAAATTGTGAAAATCCTTTTATTTTAACGACTTTAAACTTTGCCATTGTCTGGCTGCCTTCCACTTTTCCGTTTGCTCCTTTTTTGGCCCGATTGTTTGGCATTGTTTCATGCAAGTTTGATTTTCAAATCAACTGCAGGTTGCCTCCACCTTAATCCTGTCCCTGGTCCCTTGTCCTGAGTCCCCACTTAGTTGTTGTTGTTTCTATTTGGCTACTGACCTCGTTGTTGTTGTTATTGCTTCGCCCCATTCAGTTGTCAAAATAAAAACCTGGCAACCTGTTGCTACGGAGGATTACTCGTGCGTTGAATGCCCCCATCTCGAAATGTCCTGGCTCTGCCCCGTGCCCAAGTGTGCCACGTATAGAGGAAAACTTTTCGCTTTGATATTTGATTTCTGTGCTGGCCTGCAATGGCAGGAATCAGCCAAACGGAAAAAGGTTCAAATTACCGCGAGTTTTTAGCCGTTTTCCGTCGCCAACATTTTTGTTCTTCTGTTTTCCGTTGTGACGTTTCTCTTTCGTTTTTTTTTTATCTTTGTTGTCGTTTTTCGTTTTCGTGTTGTTTAGTGTTGTGTGCACTTTACTTTTCGGCTTTGACTTTTATGCCATGCTGGTCTAAGTTTCGACCCAATCAGGATCTGCAAGGACTCTAAGCCACTCTGGTGGTGAAGTGGGGATTGGAAGTTTTGACAAATATGCCGGAAAGCAGAGGCCATTCAGCAAGTTCATACCAATAGGATTACGGCCGGAATATCGGAAGGGCACATGGGAAAATACCACGAGAGTTTGTTTTAAAGTTTTTCTTTTTCGTAAAAGAAAAACACCTGGGATAGGTGAAATGGCTGCGAAATCGATTTAGGAAAAATATATATTTAAAAATAATAGTTTTTCTAATCTGTTTCTATTGAAGAGTGTTGAGGAACCACATAACTAATTATAATTTGGTATATTTATTAGCATGTAAGATATTTCTTCTTGAGATGGTCTGGTCTCACGAATTTTGGCTTGCTCGCTCTCGCTCTCTCGCTCTACTCCTGACCACGGAGCAGTCGACATTAATAAACCGTAAATTATTATTGTGAAGTAATTGAGCATTTTTCTATCTACCGAATTCGAAAAATTGTCTTACAAACCATTTAGGATGATCTTTTCACCATCAATCAGTCTGCAAAATATGTCTGTTAAATGTCAAATATAATATTCTATAAAATATTGGAAATATTTTCTCCTGATTCTTCAGCTTTTAAAATTCAGAACTTATTTAAATCGCACATCGATGTGCTGTCTTCCCTGTTTTTAATATTTAATGAGAAGCACAGACACTCCCTTCAACAATATTCCTTTTTAAAAACCGCACAGCTCTTTAACATCCGCTCAATATCGATTTAATTAATTTGAGAAACGTCGGGGCTGATTAAATATTAAGGGAACCAACGTATTTATGCATGTCGACTGTCGAATGGCGAATGGGGAATGTGGAAGTGAGTGCCAGGCCCTTTTGAGGGATCCTGGGGATCCTGCGGTTGGCTGTATCGCCTGACAGCCATTAGGAATATTGATTTCCATATCGCAACATTAACCAACGTCAGAAGGCAACAAAAGTCGCATTTCCGAGCTGCAAAAAAGGAAAGTACAGGCGGGATACAGGATACCAGCACTCACACACACATCCAAATGCGCTGACGTAATGTGAAAATTATGCGTTGTAATTTGCGCCATCAGAAGGAAACGGAAAGGCGGAAGACGACGCACTCAAACAAACAGGGGAAGAGGATGAGGATGCGGAAGTAGAAGGGAATGGGATGGGAATGGGACAAGGACAGGGCGTCGAGAAAAAAAGAAAGGAAAACAAACGCAGAAAAACACGCAGGATATTCCTAAGAAGAAGAAGACATAGGCGGGCTGAAACACACACACAGACACATTTACATATGCTTAGCTGAGTGTGTGTTGGTGTGTGTATGCAGATGTGGACATGAAAAATTGGAACACTTTAGCAGTCAAAGCTGATTCACAGCTCCTATCTCCCCAGCCCACAAGCTTTCCCTGTTGCTGTTGTCCTTGCTGTTTTTTGGCACTTTTTCACCATCGTCCTCTTCATCTTTCTGCTTTTTTTCTTCTCACTTTTTTTTTGTTTGCAGCCCAAGAGGAAGTTGTAAAAATAAAACATAGCACGTTCACAAGTCCCCAGAAACACCCGATAGAATGCCACGATTAGATGGGTTGCGACCTAGGAATACCCGCTAAATGGAAACCGTAATAAGTATCTGCTAGGCACGAGCTGTTGCTCGAAGAACCATATCTTTAAAGTTAATAGGTAAGATATTATCAGTATATCTAGTACTTAAAAAATTTTAAATATTCAGCCATGTAGAAAAATGTAATCAACAAATTTAAGCCAAAGTGAAAGTCATTGTTGAATAATTACGTTAGATGAGAGGATGAAAAAAGAAAAAGGTTCTATACAGGCTGATAGGAGTCAAAATATTTATAAAGTAAATAAAACAATGTATGAAAAAATGTTGAAAAACCATTTTATAGATCACCCTTTAAATGAAAAATATACTGGAAAGAGAAAACTATCTCCAGAAGCATGACAAGCAAACTCAGC